TTGAAGATGCAATCCGATCTCAAAACAAAAAGTTGCATTGGAATCAGGAAGTACTAAGGCAACTTTTCCGCACTATTAAAAATCCCGAATCGAAAAAAGTCCGGAATCGACACACCCTACTGTTCATCCCTGAGGCTCCATATACCTAATATAATATAAAGATTTTCGAAGCTTCGCCCGAATTTATACCACATTTATCAGCCAATATGCGAATTGTGTCAATGAAATTGAAAGAGCATATTATATTCATAACTTTGTATCAAAACTGGATGAAACTTGGCCTAGCCCCAATAAATAACTTATATCAGCATTTTCGAATATCCGGCTAACTTTGCTCCATATGACTGGTGATTGCATGTGAGTTACCTTAATTAAATTCAGGGAATATTTTTTTTTTTTTTTTTTTTTTTTTTTTGTATGTAGTAAAATAGTTAATAGATAAAATCGGGTTAATACTGCCCCAACTCGCATATACTAGTACATATAATGATTTTCGTTTTTCTAGTAAATCTTATGTCGAATTTGTGGGTCAGTGTATGAGTTATATAAAAAAAAAATTGCTCGATTCCGATCCTCTGGTTGACGCTTTACATTTAAAGGTACATATATCCTTGGCTATGATTCTTGTAAGTTGCAAGGGTATAAAATATTCGCCTGCACCCGAACTTAGCCCTTCCTTACTTGTGTAATTTGAAATTGCTCTCATCACTCTAAATTACTTTTTTCCAAAAACTTCATTGCATTTCACAGGAATTTATTGCAAATTCCAATCAAGTTTTTTTTTTGCTGATGAAAGGCTTTCGATATTGCGATGGTTGGAATAAACATATTCTCTGATTTCCCGCTTAACTGTTTGCGCAAAAGCGTTAGATTGAAGGCTCTGCTAAATAAATCGGACTGAAACAATCGGGTCTTCCTTCTATTCTCTGATTATTTTAGTCTCTTCGTGAGCATTGAGTACCTTTGGGTGGCCGGATCTTGGCGCATTCTCGTGCATACTATTTTTCTACTAATTTTATTTTATTTTATTTTTTTATTTTTTTTTTTAATTTCAATTTTTTTAAATGACCCTGAGCAATAAATTTTCGCAAATCTACGCTTAATTCTATAGATTTTGGCAAATCTTATAAGTATTGAGTAAAATACCTTATTGAGGTTAAAATGATGAAACTGTGCCTTTCTCAAGTTTATTTACAGATATGTATTTATAAAAAGTTTTCACAAAGCTCGAGTGATTATCAAAAAGTATTTATTCTGCAAACGAAATAAAAAATAACGATGAATATCAATCGTSAGCAATTTAAATAAATAATAGGTAAAGGATTCAGACCCAGTTTCTGTTGGAAAGATTCATGTTCTGCACAATAAAATACCGTGGGATAAAGTTTTAGAGGCTTAGCATGTCTGTATCAAAGGCAGATCGAACGACACTGCYTTGCACGATGTRGCGCCGTGGATGAAGCGAACCGCAYAATGAAGCTGGACATCGAAAAGCCTTCGACACTGTGTCGAAGAGGACACTCGTGGTTGCATTTTCGCTGACCACATACCGGCGAGAGATATATAGATGACGAAAAGTCGCTGGAAAAGAGACATAATGAGATTTTTCACAAACGTGTCGAAGTTGGAAGAGGGGGCTGTAGGGGAAGTTTTCTGTAAAGAACTCACCGTCAATCTTAGCTTCAGGCTACTGAATCACTGCAGTGTTTTCCAGGCAGTAGTTAAAGTTGCTGTTAACGTACTACTATGCCGTGTAGCCTCTTTCAAAAAGGTTAAGGAGAGGGACTGATGACTCCTGTACGACAGCAATATCTTTTTGGTCTAAAGTAGAATGCAAAAGATGATCTGAAGTAGTTGYCCTTATCAAGGTTCGTCTTGGCACAATGAACCCCTATTCTTACTGGGCATTGTCTAATAGGCATTCTTGCTTTAGAGTTAAAAATCTTTTCGAATGCAAGTTGTCAAATTTGTATAGAGGAGGGTGAGGTGCAAACATTCAGACACTCTCTCCTCCATTCTCCAGCATTCGCAAGACATGAAACGTATCGGAAGTCTTATCTTCCAAGAACCAGGAAACATAACCGAAACCAACATAAGCTGTCTGAAAAAAAATATATGTTTTCGTATTACCACCAGAACTTAAGCATACTGTGCGAAAAAGTGACGAAATTTTTAAGAAAGAAGGAGAAAAAATTATTTTTTGCTTGAAGTGTTGCACCCTAAAATATACTCATATTATAAGGCTTAGATATTATGTATTGTTCATTTAAATAAAATTTTATAAATAGAAAATRTGCATAATACAAATTTGTAACTCAGTTGGTATGCCTCCAAGTAAACTTGTATTTAAATTCAAAATGCAAAATTAATTATTTTAGCATTCGAGCTAATTACATTCGACTCAATATGTGGTGAACTGATTTTAATATTCATACATGTATCACAAATTAMAACAGTTATGTTTCACATTGCATTTGTTTTACTCCCCCTCACTCTATCTCTCCCTCTATGACTAATATTTGGTATTTTTCCACAGGATTCTGGCTAATGCACTGCCACTATGAATGGCACTTGTCCATCGGTATGGGCTTAATTCTGCAAGTGGGCAACACCAGCGAAATGGTGACAACACCAAAAGGATTCCCCAGCTGTGGTAATTACCTACCCGAACTGAATGAGCTGCAAGCATTTCGCGCTAAAACATTRTATTTCATGTAATATAATATGTATAAAATGACTTTTTATTATGTGTAAACTTTAGACATATTATTCAAAATATTAAAAACAAATACTATTTTCACATAATGATTAATTATTTTGGAACTTTTTACTTGAACTCTTACCTACATTAGATAATTACAGTTATGTTGGCAACCGAAATAAATTTGGAAAATATCGGCGTTGCATGCGATGGAAGCAAAAACAGAGTGTTTACTGTGGGCAATAAATAGTAGGACTTTTTAAATCAAATTTCGCACAAAATGCCTTTTGTCGYGAGCAAGTGTTTTTGATTGACATAAACTAGGAGGATCGAGAACGCGTTGACGACAAAGCACGTTCAGGACGGCCATCAAACATCAAACAAAGCAATTGGTGCTTGAGAATCGACGCTTAACAGTCAGAGACCTTAGTGATATCTTTGGATTATTGGAAGCATCCTAAACCCCATTTTAAAGATCATTTGAGCTTAAGAAGAGCGAAAGGTTTGGTTTCTAAATCACTAACGATTGGTTCCAAAATCACTAACTTTTTCGAAAAACAGCGTCGCGTTAACGTCTGTTAAACAATGCTTTCCAACAACCAGCATATCATGAAACGCGATGAGCCTTGGATCTATGCTTACGAACCGAAAACAGGCGCGCAGTCGGCCGAATGCTGTGGCAAAGGTGAGCCGAAGCGAAAAACCCCACGTCAAAGCTGGCCCAAAAATCAAGGTTAGGTTGGCAGTTTTCTGCRGTTATCGAGGTGTGATACAATCCAAATTCCTTCCGATCGGCCAAACTGCTAACAAAGAATACTATTTGAGTGTTATGCGTGCAAAGTTGTTATTTCAATTATTTCCTAATATATGAGAGAACTTGACCTGCWCCTCTTTCAACACCGATCAACCGATGAACTGGATGGCCACATCCCGTTGAAAGTTAAGCGTGACGTATTACATATTTAAAATCGACACGGTTGATATCTATTTTCAAGAGGATAGTGCATAGCCTCATCTTTGACCCCCAGTCAAACAGCCGCCTAGATCATTCAATTCAACGCCTTTGGATTATTTGTTCGGAGGATCTGCTCAATCAAAAACGATTTCGAAGACAATAATCGGGTTCACTATAACCGGAATTCCAGCCGAAATGCTGGACCGAGTTATCGAAAGTTGGCATACACGTTGGGACAAAGGCAAACGG